CGTGATCCCGATCACATGATCGTATTTATGGTCACATGGCTTTCTTCCTAAACAAAGCCACATGATCGGGATCACGGTCACATGGCTTACTTCCTAAACAAAGCCACATGATCGGGATCACGGTCACATGGCTTACTTCCTAAACAACGCCACATGATCGGGATCACGGTCACATGGCTTTCTTCCTAAACAAAGCCACATGATCGGGATCACGGTCACATGGCTTACTTCCTAAACAACGCCACATGATCGGGATCACTGTCACATGGCTTACTTCATAAATAAAGCCAAGTAACACAGCAACAGGGTCTCTCATAGCTAGAAGTGCTGTGCGTTTCTATTTTTTTTTTCTTTAAATCTAATTTCAGCAAATGCAAACCGATTCATTTTGGTGCAAAATCAAGCTGGCCAAAATCATCCACTCATTAACTTTGACCATAGGTACAGTGCAATAAAGGGTGGTTGAGGCAATGTCCCACCGTCCCAAACTCAGCCTCCTGAAGTATTGCAGCTCTCTGAGACTTCCTGACACAGAATTCATTTAGAAGAGAACTCAGCTGGGGTGACTCAACCCCAAACCCCCCCCGCAGATAAGTTTAGCAAGCAGAAGGTTAGCACACAGAGGCTGGATATCTACACACACACACGGAGGCGGTATACAAGACCCTGTATGCCAAGCCCCACAAGTTACCTGAAATATTCGGTCAGCGTTCATGGGTAGAGCAGCAGGGGAGTATGTGGGATCCATCTCTGTAAATTCCTCAGCAAAATTCCCTACATCCAGCTCATCCTTAATGACAGGTTTAAATGGCGCGGGTACTTTCTTTGCTGCCAAATCGTCCCAATTAATTGTCTGCAAAAAAAAAAAGAGGAATCATTTTATAGAGGAACATTCATTAAAGGAGAACTATGAGATGAGTGATTTCCACTCACCTCATAGTTGTAGCCGACCTGTGACAGTTAGACCTGTGCCTCTAGATAGGCAGAGCCAGCTGTCACTCACGCAGCTGGGCGGATCCCGGCATAATTGTCGGGATCCGCTTCAGCGTCTCAGTATACCGCGAGCTGTAGCTCCCTATATACTGAGCCTAGGGTGACGGGAGGACGCTAGTTTGTGTCCCCGTTACCCTACGGAGAACTATGGGGAAAAGCCCTAACCCCATAGTTCTCCTTTAAGAACAAACCTACAGTCCCTATCTTGCTCATAACCCGGGGACTGCCTGTAATAGTGAAATAAATTATTTTCGCTCAGTGCTGCAATTCCCACCTTGAAAAACGGATGTTTCTTTATTTCATCGGAGCCGTCCGGTCCACAACCCAAACGCTTTTTGGGGTCTTTCATCAATAACCCCCGGATAAGATCTTTGACAAGTCCACTCATTTCTGGTGGATACGGAGGGTCACTTTTCAATATTCTCCTACATAAGGAAAAACAAATGACAACATTGTATCGCTGGCAGAAATGTGCTTCCAGTGTAATGTTATAACAAAACACACGTTCACAGCTACATTTTAACCTGCTTATATTTTACCTCCTTTGTGGCAAAAAGGCTACAAAAAACTTCCTTAGGGCAATACACCTCAATAAGAGGTATCGAAAAGCATTAAGCACACTTCACGTGGAACTCAATACAATAACAGACAAGGGGAACGCTGCTTCCCGGTCTATGTATAGGTACTCTCACCCTTATGGTGGCACAAGGGGGGCTATTTGAAATAGAGTGCAGGTACCTGTATCTGCTGAACACAGCAACGTTTTCTCCACATTGCTCTGGTATTTTATTCATGATCTGCAGGCCTCAGAGTGGAGCTCGTGGTGTCCACATAAAGTTTCACAGAACTGCCCATGATGGGAGAAGAGGTCAGACGTATGACTGACAGATCACGTGATTGGGCTCTCCTTGTCTGGACGGATTTAATAAAATTAATATGATAGGAGGGGCAGGCAGGGCCCTAGGTAACACAGAGCCTCCACTGAAAGAACTAAAATACAATGACTGAAAGAGGCGGGGCCAGGGACCGTCAGTATGTGGATCAAAAGGCTAGATGATGCTGGACGTTCTCCAGACAGGAAAGGAGGCGGGCTCTATCTGACCTGCTGCAGCTTCTAATGCACATTGCGAGAAGCTCCCAGCGTGCAGTGACATCAGAGGAAGAGGAGGCGGTACAACTGTGCAAGACTGGAGGATGAGGTCAGATAGAAGAATGAAGGGAAGGACGGAGGTCAGATAGAAGACTGAAAGGAAGGACGGAGGTCAGATAGAAGAATGAAGGGAAGGACGGAGGTCAGATAGAAGACTGAAGGGGAGGCCAGAGGTCAGATAGAAGACTGAAGGGGAGGACGGAGGTCAGATAGAAGACTGAAGGGAAGGACAGAGGTCAGATAGAAGACTGAAGGGGAGGACGGAGGTCAGATAGAAGACTGAAGGGAAGGACAGAGGTCAGATAGAAGACTGAAGGGAAGGACGGAGGTCAGATAGAAGACTGAAGGAAAGGACGGAGGTCAGATAGAAGACTGAAGGGAAGGACGGAGGTCAGATAGAAGACTGAAGGGAAGGACGGAGGTCAGATAGAAGACTGAAGGGAAGGACGGAGGTCAGATAGAAGACTGAAGGGAAGGACGGAGGTCAGATAGAAGACTGAAGGGAAGGACGGAGGTCAGATAGAAGACTGAAGGGAAGGACGGAGGTCAGATAGAAGACTGAAGGGAAGGACGGAGGTCAGATAGAAGACTGAAGGGAAGGACGGAGGTCAGATAGAAGACTGAAGGGAAGGACGGAGGTCAGATAGAAGACTGAAGGGAAGGACGGAGGTCAGATAGAAGACTGAAGGGAAGGACGGAGGTCAGATAGAAGACTGAAGGGAAGGACGGAGGTCAGATAGAAGACTGAAGGGAAGGACGGAGGTCAGATAGAAGACTGAAGGGAAGGACGGAGGTCAGATAGAAGACTGAAGGGAAGGACGGAGGTCAGATAGAAGACTGAAGGGAAGGACGGAGGTCAGATAGAAGACTGAAGGGAAGGACGGAGGTCAGATAGAAGACTGAAGGGAAGGACGGAGGTCAGATAGAAGACTGAAGGGAAGGACGGAGGTCAGATAGAAGACTGAAGGGAAGGACGGAGGTCAGATAGAAGAGTGAAGGGAAGGACGGAGGTCAGATAGAAGACTGAAGGGAAGGACGGAGGTCAGATAGAAGACTGAAGGGGAGAACAGAGGTCAGATAGAAGACTGAAGGGGAGGACGGAGGTCAAATAGAAGACTCTACACAGAACAAAGTGATGTTGCCGAGTTTTATATGAACCTGGCAGAAGTCCGTTTTACTTACAGCTCTGTAACTTACTTAGAGATTTCTGCCTGAGAATTCTTTTCCCCATCGACAGTAAAAGGCGATGCTCCGGTCAGCAGCTCATACATCAAAACCCCCAAACTCCACCAATCCACAGCCTGGAAGGAAGCAAAGTGAGAACGTTAAAGCCGCAGGCTAAACGACGACCCAAAGTAGGAGGCTTTCAGCTGGATTTGTAATAACTTTTTAGAACATTATTCTGCTAGTAACACACTTCCTGTCCTAGGGTGACAACGCTCACTTATTGTACTTCATCTATGGAGGAGCAGCGATGTCACACTGGGGCAAACACCTACCCATCCCCTCTTCTCAATAGCAAAGGGGGGATTGGTGGTGTTCTATCGAAAGTTCCAACTTGTCGAGATCTCCGACAACCTGACTTCCGGTTCCCTGACACTTCCTGTCCGAGAGACCCAACATAATGTAAGAGGACTTTCCTGGAACTGAGGGGAAATCGCCCCTTTGGCAGCTAAACAGACCACGTCTCAAAATGTGCTGAAACAGTCACTTGTAGTCTCCATTAGAAGTCTGTGTGACAGAGTGACAACGCATAAGCCCAATGGGCAGATGGAGTGTTGTCACCCTACAACAGGAAGTGCCTGCACAAGGACCTTTGCTGCCAGGATCAACAGGGATTATTTTAAATGAAAGTGTCACAGATAAATATATTGAAAATTACAGTCACATGTTAGACCCCGTTCACACTGAGCGATTTATGGAGCGATTTTTGCAGCGATATCGCTCATATTTCCACGCGATATCGCTCTATGTAGCTTCTCCAATACATTGCAATGGAGCTGTTCACATCTCGTCGCTCAATATCGCTTGTAGCTCGTCGCTGGTAGCTTGTCGCTCCTACATGACCCTTTTTTAGAGCGATTTTGAGCGATATTGCTCCTGATTGCATACAGCCCAATAGGAAAAAGTCGCGACACGTCGCTCAATATCGCTCAAAGTCGCGCGATTTTCATGTCGCTCAGTGTGAATGGGGCCTTAAGGAATATATATGAGATTTCAGTGATTGGGGTTACATCTACACTTTACAGTGCAGGTAAGAGATTCACCACTGCCAACATTGTGGCGTACAGTGGAGGAAGTCATAGAAGAAAGCTTACCTTATCATGCCCGGATTCCCCTCCGCGGACGATCTCTGGCGCCATGTATTCTATAGTCCCACAAAAGGAGTACGTCCTTTCATTCTGAAAGTAAAATAATTGTTTATTTGTTCTAATACAAAAAAGGACAGAAACAAATAACATTCAGTCACAATCTGTGATGGAACACTGTGGTCAAAGAACTGAAGTTAAATTAATGAAAGTGTGCGGGGCCAGGGGTACTTAGGAAGCAGAGGAAAGTGTTAGATAATGCTGGATGTCCTCCAGCCAGGAAATGAGGTGGAGCTCTATGTGACTTGCGGCAGCTTCTGTGCACATTGTGAGAAGCTCCCAGCGTGCAGTGACATCAGAGGAAGAGGGAAGGAGCCGGTACAACTGTGCAAGACTGAAGGGGAGAACGGAAGTCAGATAGGAGACTGAAGGGGAGGACGGAGGTCAGATAGAAGACTGAAGGGGAGGACGGAGGTCAGATAGAAGACTGAAGGGGAGGACGGAGGTCAGATAGAAGACTGAAGGGGAGGACGGAGGTCAGATAGAAGACTGAAGGGGAGGACGGAGGTCAGATAGAAGACTGAAGGGGAGGACGGAGGTCAGATAGAAGACTGAAGGGGAGGACGGAGGTCAGATAGAAGACTGAAGGGGAGGACGGAGGTCAGATAGAAGACTGAAGGGGAGGACGGAGGTCAGATAGAAGACTGAAGGGGAGGACGGAGGTCAGATAGAAGACTGAAGGGGAGGACGGAGGTCAGATAGAAGACTGAAGGGGAGGACGGAGGTCAGATAGAAGACTGAAGGGAAGGCCGGAGTTCAGCTTTAAGCAACTAACCATCTAGATATATATATATGATATCATATTGTAAGAAATACAATAATTAAAACATGCAGAAGCAAAGGTCCAAAAGAAAGCTCTATCTGTCCCCAAAAAATGGTATAAAATTCATTTCAGTACAGCGTTGCGTGACGGAATAAATGTCAGTCAAAGTACCGCAGCGCTGAACACTGAAAAATGGCCTGGCCAGGTAGGGGATCTAAACACCTGGTCTTCAAGCAGTTAAGTAACAAAAAATGGATGTTCAGGTAAACATTACAAATAAAATGTAAATTATACACTCACTGAAAATATACTAAAGCTTCCCTTCAAGACAGCATAGAAGGGCAGACAAACATTTGACGCACCTCATCGGACAGGAACTCCTTGCTGAGCCCAAAGTCTGTTAATACCACATGACCGCTGGAGTCCAAAAGAATGTTCTCAAGTTTTATATCCCGATAAATTATTCCCAGCTGTAACGACAAAGTAACAGTTTTTATTTTTTGTTTCCCTGTCAGCTGATAGCGTTCGCTAGAATGGAGAACAGAAGTGAACATTGGAGGGAGACAGATGGAAGACTCTGCGGTTAGTTAAATATTCAGAAGATAAACAGCAGTAAATTCTACCAGAGACTCCATACCATATACAACCAGTATTAGTCCTGATCTACGAGCCAAGGGAACGCGGTGGAATTAGCCAATAAAAAAGAATTATCCGGCTGTAAACATGCAGAATAGCTGTGGCTTCATGAATACTAAATGCACGAAAGATAAAAAAGGGGTTAAAGCTGCTCCGTGGCTCGCTTAACAAGCATTTAAAAAGTGCTTCCTTGCAAATAAAACCATTAATACTACTTAAGACTCCAGCTGCAGGTCTCTGCTGTCTTCTAGTGCTACCCTGGTTGTAAAATCCTCTGCCAGTGTCAGGCATCAGACACATCAGGAAGTGTGCCGGATGCTGAATAGGTTTAAGGCCCCTTTAACACAGGGCAGATTTTCAGTCAATCGGATGCCCAATGCTAGTCTATCGCATGCCCAATGCTAGTCTATCGCATGCCCAATGCTAGTCTATCGCATGCCCAATGCCAGTCTATCGCATGCCCAATGCTAGTCTATCGGATGCCCAATGCCAGTCTATCAAATCCCCAATGCCAGTCTATTGGATGCCCAATGCTAGTCTATCGGATGCCCAATGCCAGTCTATCAAATCCCCAATGCCAGTCTATTGGATGCCCAATGCTAGTCTATCGGATGCCCAATGCCAGTCTATCGGATGCCCAAAGCTAATCTATCGGATGCCTAATGCTAGTCTATCGGATGCCTAATGCTAGTCTATCGGATGCCCAATGCCAGTCTATAAGATGCCCAATGCCAGTCTATCGGATGCCCAATGCCAGTCTATCGGATGCCCAATGCTAGTCTATCAGATGCCCAATGCCAGTCTATCGGATGCCCAATGCCAGTCTATCGGATGCCCAAAGCTAATCTATCGGATGCCTAATGCTAGTCTATCGGATGCCTAATGCTAGTCTATCGGATGCCCAATGC